TCTCGTGGATGGACTCTACTGGCTTCCGGACGACTCAACGATCAGCGAATGTGACAACAAGTGGAACCAGTTGTGCCGATCTACATGCGAGAATGGGTCATGCTCCAGTCGATGTACTTCGCAAGATGATCGCGACCAACATGATCAAGGATGTGCGAGTCCCTCTCAAGTCGGGTGGAGCAACTACATGTCGAGGATGTCAACAAGGGAAAATGGTCCAAAAACCATTTCCAAGCAACCGAGACAAGCGCAGCTACGATACGTTTGAGCTGCTTCATCTGGACATCTGCGGGCCCATGGAAAGGATTCGCTCGGTGGCAGCAAATATTTGCTGCTGATCATCGACGAAGCCAGTGGATGCATGAAGGGCTTTTGTCTACGAGTGAAGTCCGAGAGTGAAGACTACATCCGGAAATATATCACCATGGTACAGACGCAATTCTGTAAGAAGGTCAAGTTCGTGCGACACGACGGAGCTCGCGAGTTTGCAACCAACTCGCTTCAACTGTTCTACGAAGACGAAGGCTTTGAACAGCAGACAACGGTGCCGTATGCACATCAAACAAACGGAACAGCAGAGCGTGCCATTAGGACTATTGTCACGATCGGCCGCAGCATGCTTCATCATGCCAAACTGGACAAGTGTTTCTGGGCCGAAGCAGCGATGACGGCCATCTACGTCAGAATCGACTGCCGTCACCTAAAGTCGTGCACAAGACCCCGTTTGAGATCGTCTACAACTTGAAACCAAGCGTCAAGCACGTGCGAACATTCGGGTGTCAGACATACATACTGACGCCTAAAGAGAATCGACTCAAGTGGGATCAAAGGCTCGCGCTGGCATATTCGTGGGCTACGAAGAAGTTTCGAAGGCATATCGTGTTTATGACATCGAGGCGGGGCAGGTGGTTATCAGCCGCGATGTCAACTTCGACGAGTCCACCTTTGGACTTCAACTGCCGATCACTGATGAAGATGTCGATGACCTGGACTTCGAATTGCTGGATCTTGATGACGAAGAGCTGCGTCAAATGGAGTACAAGCAAACAGGCAAGCGCAAGAACCGACTCAATGATGAAGATACAGCAGCTCCACGACCGCGTGCAGTGCGTCAACGACCAGGACTAGAAGAGTCAAGCGCGCCGGAAAACAACTCGTCACGACAAGAAGAAGACGAAGAAACGAAGGATTCTGGTGATTCAACACCGCCTGTGTTTTGGCGTGCGAGTGCAAATGCCGTTGAAGCAGCAGTGGACTTATCAGAACCCTCAACATTTGAAGCAGCAGTAAGCGGCCCTGACCAAGTGCACTGGAGAAAAGCAATTCATGCAGAGCTCGAGTCAATGCGACTTTGCGGTGTGTTTCGTGCAGCCAAGCTGCCCAACGGACAACGCGCCATTGGCACAAAATGGGTGTTCAAGATCAAGCGCAAGGCGGATGGGTCAATCGAGAAGTACAAGGCACGACTTGTGGCCAAGGGTTTCCGCCAAAAGTATGGCATCGACTACACGGAGACGTTTTCGCCTGTGGTCAAGTATGTGACGCTGCGAATGGTGATCGCAATTTCCAAGCATTTTGGATGGCCCATCGACCAGCTTGATGTGGTGACAGCTTTCCTGTATGGCGTCATGAAGGAACAAGTGTTCTGCGTGATTCCTGAAGGCGTCGAACTTGACAGTACGTTCGACTGCCTGGAATTGGTGAAGTCAATTTACGGCCTCAAGCAAGCGTCGCGAGTGTGGAACGAGACGTTCGACGAGTATGTGTGCTCCATCGGATTTCAAGTATCGGACTTCGACCCATGTCTCTACATCAAGACTTCGGACGGCCATTGCGTGTTTATACTGGTCTACGTGGACGACGTCTTGGTGACTGGAAGCTCGCTCGAGCTGATTGCACAAACCAAGAACGACCTGAAGACGCGGTTAGAAATGACGGACAGCGGCAAGTGTGCGTTTGTTCTTGGGATCGAGCTTTTGGACGGTGAAGATGACAGTGTGACACTATGTCAGCGTCGGTATGTCGATGATATCCTCAAGCGCTTTGGCATGGATGATTGCAAGGCAGTCGCAAGTCCAGTCGACATGAGCTCTCGACTTGTTTCAAGTGATGCAACTACCAAGGTCGATGCTCCTTTTCGCGAAGCTGTTGGTGCGTTGATGCACCTGACCACTGCAACGCGTCCGGACATTGCGTTTGCTGTGGGCTATGTGTCGCGGTTCATGGAAAATCCCCAAGAAGAACACTGGGTTGCAGTTAAGCGTATCTTTCGCTACCTACAAGGCACCAAGACGCATGGAATCTGCTACAAGCCAAGTGCGAAGATCGACTTTCGTGGCTATTCAGATGCAGACTGGGCCGGTGAACTTGCTGATCGCAAATCGACGTCCGGCTACGTCTTCATGCTATTGGGTGCTCCGGTGAGTTGGGGCAGCAAGAAGCAGCCAAGTGTTTCGTTGTCCACGAGTGAAGCCGAATACATCGCACTCAGCTTGGCGATTCAAGAGGGCAAGTGGATTCATCGTCTGCTTTGTGAGATTGTGATGGCGGCAAACGAAGAAGGACCCGAGCTCGTCATCCGTGAAGACAACCAGTCGTGCATCAAGATGACGAAGAATCCGGTCAACCACGGCCGCGCTAAACACATCGACATCAAGTACCATCACATCCGTGATGAAGTCAAGCGCGGCGAAGTGAAGCTTGAATACTGCGAGACGACGTTGATGTTGGCGGACATCATGACGAAGGGACTTCACGGACCGCGTCACAAGGACTTGACGGCGGCGCTTGGCATCCGTGCGTGTTCGGATTGAGGGGGCGTATTGAGGGTTTCCGGTACAATCCGAACCTGGCGCGTAGTTCTTACGAGATAGTTTTTACATCGGTAATTACCTCAGAGATGATTAGACGCGTAGGATGATTGGACGCGTGTAAATCAGGTTGATTAGATGCACCATGTGATTGGATGCAGTCTAGGGTAGGCAGAAGTTAATACCTATAAATCAATCACTTTCGAATCCTCCCTCAAGTGAGTAAGTGTTCTCTGCTTCGTTCTCTCCGGTCTCTCCGCTTCGTTTTCTCTTCGCCTCGCGCTCAAGTTACAACAGTAAGTAGTAAGCCCCGATAATCAATCACTTTCGAATCTTCCAACTATTGGGCAAGTGTTTTCTGCTCTACTCTCTTCGGTCTCTCCGCTCCGTTCGCTCCGCTTTCCTCGCTCCGATCTACAATGCAACAGGTTATGAGCCCAAGCGCCATGTCGTCCACCGGCAACGCCTCCATTGACAAGTTCAACGGAGACAATTACGCAACGTGGAGCCGGTACATGCGCGGTGTGTTTTTGACGAAGTCCGTCTGGCACGTCGTCAACCGTGAAGTGACTCCGACTTTCACCGACCCGCGAGCGTCCGATGACTACGTCAAGGCAAGCAACGTCGCGTTTGGTATGATGCTGCTGCACATGAACGCGGACTACCATCATGTGCTGGACAACTGCGAGGAAGCCTGGGTTGCGTGGACAAGTCTGAAGACGCTGTACGGTGGGTCGCAGAAGGCAGGACGCATCTACCTCAAGCGACAACTTTTCAGTATCAAGATGGCTGAAGGCGCGAACGTCATGCATCACTGCAACGAGGTCCTCAACATCTCCGCCAAGCTTAGCGGCATCGGTGCGAAGATGGAAGACGAAGACGTTGCAATTTGTCTGCTACTCAGTCTTCCGAAGAGCTACGAAAATGTGGTGCTCAACATGGAAATGAGCAGCACCGAGCTTCGCACTCAAGATGTGGTGAGAGTCCTGACGAATGAGCATGCCAAGCGTCAAGGAGAAAAAGGGACAACGACAGCGACTACGGTGAAGGCTGAAGATGCAAGCAAGGCATTCAGCGCCGAGCGTGAGCCCTACCAATGCACGTATTGTGGCAAGGTGGGACACACGGTGGATCGTTGCTGGACAAAGCAGAAGAACGAAGGTCGTGTTGCATTGTAGATCGGAGCGAGGAAAGCGGAGCAAACGGAGCGGAGAGACCGAAGAGAGTAGAGCAGAAAACACTTGCCCAATAGTTGGAAGATTCGAAAGTGATTGATTATCGGGGCTTACTACTTACTACATGATTTATATGTGGTGTACATATAAATCATGTGAAGCGTCTCATCATCCTACGCGTCTAATCAACTATGGTAATTACCGTAAGAACTACGTCGTAAATACTAAGCTGAACAGGCGGTTCGGATTGGATCGGTCACGGTTACCAATACTGGTAGAAAACCGATGACCGTCAACACGCCCCCTCAATCCGAATGCTCACGAATCCCGAGAGTCGCCGTCATCTCCTTGTGGCGTGGCCCGTGAAGTCCCTTCGTCATGATGTCCGCTAACATCACCGCAGTTTCACAGTACTTGAGCTTCACTTCACCGCGCTTGACCTCATCACGGATGTGATGGTACTTGATATCAATGTGCTTGGCACGGCCGTGGTTGACTGGGTTCTTCGTCATCTTGATACACGACTGATTGTCTTCATGGATCATGAGTTCCGGTCCTTCTTCATTGGCAGCCATCACGATCTCACAAAGCAGACGATGAATCCACTTGCCCTCTTGAATCGCCAAGCTGAGTGCGATGTATTCGGCTTCACTCGTGGACAACGAAACACTTGGCTGCTTCTTGCTGCCCCAACTGACTGGCGCACCGAGTAGCATGAACGTGTACCCCGATGTTGACTTGCGGTCGGTAAGATCACCAGCCCAATCCGCATCCGAATATCCACGGAAGTCGATCCTTGCACTTGGCTTGTAGCAAATTCCATGCGTCTTGGTGCCTTGTAGGTAGCGAAAGATACGCTTAACTGCAACCCAGTGTTCTTCTTGGGGATTTTCCATGAACCGCGACACATAGCCCACAGCAAACGCAATGTCCGGACGCGTTGCAGTGGTCAGGTGCATCAACGCACCAACAGCTTCGCGAAAAGGAGCATCGACCTTGGTAGTTGCATCACTTGAAACAAGTCGAGAGCTCATGTCGACTGGACTTGCGACTGCCTTGCAATCATCCATGCCAAAGCGCTTGAGGATATCATCGACATACCGACGCTGACATAGTGTCACACTGCCATCTTCACCGTCAAAAGCTCGATCCCAGAACAAACGCACACTTGCCGCTGTCCGTCATTTCGAACCGCGTCTTCAGGTCGTTCTTGGTTTGTGCAATCAGCTCGAGTGAGCTTCCAGTCACCAAGACGTCGTCCACGTAGACCAGTATAAACACGCAATGGCCGTCCGAAGTCTTGATGTAGAGACATGGGTCGAAGTCCGATACTTGAAATCCGATGGAGCACACATACTCGTCGAACGTCTCGTTCCACACTCGCGACGCTTGCTTGAGGCCGTAAATTGACTTCACCAATTCCAGGCAGTCGAACGTACTGTCAAGTTCGACGCCTTCAGGAATCACGCAGAACACTTGTTCCTTCATGACGCCATACAGGAAAGCTGTCACCACATCAAGCTGGTCGATGGGCCATCAAAATGCTTGGAAATTGCGATCACCATTCGCAGCGTCACATACTTGACCACAGGCGAAAACGTCTCCGTGTAGTCGATGCCATACTTTTGGCGGAAACCCTTGGCCACAAGTCGTGCCTTGTACTTCTCGATTGACCCATCCGCCTTGCGCTTGATCTTGAACACCCATTTTGTGCCAATGGCGCGTTGTCCGTTGGGCAGCTTGGCTGCACGAAACACACCGCGAAGTCGCATTGACTCGAGCTCTGCATGAATTGCTTTTCTCCAGTGCACTTGGTCAGGGCCGCTTACTGCTGCTTCAAATGTTGAGGGTTCTGATAAGTCCACTGCTGCTTCAACGGCATTTGCACTCGCACGCCAAAACACAGGCGGTGTTGAATCACCAGAATCCTTCGTTTCTTCGTCTTCTTCTTGTCGTGACGAGTTGTTTTCCGGCGCGCTTGACTCTTCTAGTCCTGGTCGTTGACGCACTGCACGCGGTCGTGGAGCTGCTGTATCTTCATCATTGAGTCGGTTCTTGCGCTTGCCTGTTTGCTTGTACTCCATTTGACGCAGCTCTTCGTCATCAAGATCCAGCAATTCGAAGTCAGGTCATCGACATCTTCATCAGTGATCGGCAGTTGAAGTCCAAAGGTGGACTCGTCGAAGTTGACATCGCGGCTGATAACCACCTGCCCCGCCTCGATGTCATAAACACGATATGCCTTCGAAACTTCTTCGTAGCCCACGAATATGCCAGCGCGAGCCTTTGGATCCCACTTGAGTCGATTCTCTTTAGGCGTCAGTATGTATGTCTGACACCCGAATGTTCGCATGTGCTTGACGCTTGGTTTCAAGTTGTAGACGATCTCAAACGGGGTCTTGTGCACGACTTTAGGTGACGGCAGTCGATTCTTGACGTAGATGGCCGTCATCGCTGCTTCGGCCCAGAAACACTTGTCCAGTTTGGCATGATGAAGCATGCTGCGGCCGATCGTGACAATAGTCCTAATGGCACGCTCTGCTGTTCCGTTTGTTTGATGTGCATACGGCACCGTTGTCTGCTGTTCAATGCCTTCGTCTTCGTAGAACAGTTGAAGCGAGTTGGTTGCAAACTCGCGAGCTCCGTCGTGTCGCACGAACTTGACCTTCTTACAGAATTGCGTCTGTACCATGGTGATATATTTCCGGATGTAGTCTTCACTCTCGGACTTCACTCGTAGACAAAGCCCTTCATGCATCCACTGGCTTCGTCGATGATCAGCAGCAAATATTTGCTGCCACCGAGCGAATCCTTTTCCATGGGCCCGCAGATGTCCAGATGAAGTAGCTCAAACGTATCGTAGCTGCGCTTGTCTCGGTTGCTTGGAAATGGTTTTTGGACCATTTTCCCTTGTTGACATCCTCGACATGTAGTTGCTCCACCCGACTTGAGAGGGACTCGCACATCCTTGATCATGTTGGTCGCGATCATCTTGCGAAGTACATCGACTGGAGCATGACCCATTCTCGCATGTAGATCGGCACAACTGGTTCCACTTGTTGTCACATTCGCTGATCGTTGAGTCGTCCGAAGCCAGTAGAGTCCATCCACGAGATCCGCTGTCGCCACCACTTGCTGTGAGTTCTTGAGAGTCACATACATCTTGGACCCGTCAAACACGACTTGAAACTTGCCATGGCTGTTAATCTGTGGCACCGAGAGCAGGTTCTTGCTCATACTTGGAACATATAGCGCGTTCTTGATTTCGATCTCACGCTCTTCACCGTTGGGCAGAACCACCTTTTCCATGATGGTTCCCACACCCTTGATGGCCACCTTGTTGCCATCAGCCACCAAGTTCGCCCTCATTGCGCTCTGCCAAACTTGCGAACTTGGTCTTGTCGTGGCAAATGTGGTGCGTTGCACCACTGTCGACAGCCCACATTCCAGACACGTCCTTGCTCGTCGAAACTCCACATTCGAACGAGACTGCAAACGCCACTCGATCGTAGCCATTGCCTTCATCATGATGTCCCCACTGGACATTGTTAGCCCCCGCGTCCACGACCATTGCCGCCGCGTCGGGCTCCCCGACCTTCGTTCTTCTGCTTTGTCCAGCAACGATCCACCGTGTGTCCCACCTTGCCACAATACGTGCATTGGTAGGGCTCACGCTCGGCGCTGAATGCCTTGCTTGCATCTTCAGCCTTCACCGTAGTCGCTGTCGTTGTCCCTTTTTCTCCTTGACGCTTGGCATGCTCATTCGTCAGGACTCTCACCACATCTTGAGTGCGAAGCTCGGTGCTGCTCATTTCCATGTTGAGCACCACATTTTCGTAGCTCTTCGGAAGACTGAGTAGCAGACAAATTGCAACGTCTTCGTCTTCCATCTTCGCACCGATGCCGCTAAGCTTGGCGGAGATGTTGAGGACCTCGTTGCAGTGATGCATGACGTTCGCGCCTTCAGCCATCTTGATACTGAAAAGTTGTCGCTTGAGGTAGATGCGTCCTGCCTTCTGCGACCCACCGTACAGCGTCTTCAGACTTGTCCACGCAACCCAGGCTTCCTCGCAGTTGTCCAGCACATGATGGTAGTCCGCGTTCATGTGCAGCAGCATCATACCAAACGCGACGTTGCTTGCCTTGACGTAGTCATCGGACGCTCGCGGGTCGGTGAAAGTCGGAGTCACTTCACGGTTGACAACGTGCCAGACGGACTTCGTCAAAAACACACCGCGCATGTACCGGCTCCACGTTGCGTAATTGTCTCCGTTGAACTTGTCAATGGAGGCGTTGCTGGTGGACGACATGGCGCTTGGGCTCATAACCTGTTGCATTGTAGATCGGAGCGAGGAAAGCGGAGCGAACGGAGCGGAGAGACCGAAGAGAGTAGAGCAGAAAACACTTGCCCAATAGTTGGAAGATTCGAAAGTGATTGATTATCGGGACTTACTACTTACTACATGATTTATATGTGGTGTACATATAAATCATGTGAAGCGTCTCATCATCCTATGCGTCTAATCTGTTGAAAAGACAGCGGCTGTGAAGAAGACACCTCGTCAAGCTGCGTCAAGTGTTGAAGCAAGTGGAAGACCAAGCTTCGCTATACCGGTGGGTACCGGTATGTACCAGTAAGGGCGAAGTCAGGAAATGACGTCACTGGATGACGTCAGTGGGTGACGTCACTGGATGACGTCACTGCGAATGATAGGCTTAGAGGTAGTATTCAAAGTTGCGAACTAAGTACCTATTATAAATATATATTCACTTTGCGTTTTGCACTCGGACCAAGAAGTCTAAAGTTCATCAGGTTATGAGCCCAAGTTCGTCAGACTCTGAAACCGCCAACAATTCAAGCTTAGCTGCCATGGACGCCTCCTCCCTCCGCATCTCCAAGTTCGATGGAACTAACTTCCACGCCTGGAAGTTCAAGATGCAGATGGTGCTGGAGGAACGGGACCTATGGGAGGTCGTCAGCGGTGAGATCAAGGCGGAACAGTGCGAGACTCAGTTGGACCAAGCGACGTACAAGAGGAAGTCAAGAAAGGCGATGGCAGTGATCTGTCTAGCCATGGAAGATTCCCAGCTACCGTTGGTCCGGTCGGCAAGTGGTGCATGCGACGCATGGTCAAGGTTGGAAGACCACTTCGAGAAGAAGAGTCTTGCCAACAAGCTTGTTGCATTGTAGATCGGAGCGAGGAAAGCGGAGCGAACGGAGCGGAGAGACCGAAGAGAGTAGAGCAGAAAACACTTGCCCAATAGTTGGAAGATTCGAAAGTGATTGATTATCGGGGCTTACTACTTACTACATGATTTATATGTGGTGTACATATAAATCATGTGAAGCGTCTCATCATCCTACGCGTCTAATCAACTATGGCAATTACCGTAAGAACTACGTCGTAAATACTAAGCTGAACAGGCGGTTCGGATTGGATCGGTCACGGTTACCAATACTGGTAGAAAACCGATGACCGTCAACACGCCCCCTCAATCCGAATGCTCACGAATCCCGAGAGTCGCCGTCATCTCCTTGTGGCGTGGCCCGTGAAGTCCCTTCGTCATGATGTCCGCTAACATCACCGCAGTTTCACAGTACTTGAGCTTCACCGCGCTTGACCTCATCACGGATGTGATGGTACTTGATATCAATGTGCTTGGCACGGCCGTGGTTGACTGGGTTCTTCGTCATCTTGATACACGACTGATTGTCTTCATGGATCATGAGTTCCGGTCCTTCTTCATTGGCAGCCATCACGATCTCACAAAGCAGACGATGAATCCACTTGCCCTCTTGAATCGCCAAGCTGAGTGCGATGTATTCGGCTTCACTCGTGGACAACGAAACACTTGGCTGCTTCATGCTGCCCCAACTGACTGGCGCACCGAGTAGCATGAACGTGTACCCCGATGTTGACTTGCGGTCGGTAAGATCACCAGCCCAATCCGCATCCGAATATCCACGGAAGTCGATCCTTGCACTTGGCTTGTAGCAAATTTCATGCGTCTTGGTGCCTTGTAGGTAGCGAAAGATACGCTTAACTGCAACCCAGTGTTCTTCTTGGGGATTTTCCATGAACCGCGACACATAGCCCACAGCAAACGCAATGTCCGGACGCGTTGCAGTGGTCAGGTGCATCAACGCACCAACAGCTTCGCGAAAAGGAGCATCGACCTTGGTAGTTGCATCACTTGAAACAAGTCGAGAGCTCATGTCGACTGGACTTGCGACTGCCTTGCAATCATCCATGCCAAAGCGCTTGAGGATATCATCGACATACCGACGCTGACATAGTGTCATACTGCCATCTTCACCGTCCAAAAGCTCGATCCCAAGAACAAACGCACACTTGCCGCTGTCCGTCATTTCTAACCGCGTCTTCAGGTCGTTCTTGGTTTGTGCAATCAGCTCGAGTGAGCTTCCAGTCACCAAGACGTCGTCCACGTAGACCAGTATAAACACGCAATGGCCGTCCGAAGTCTTGATGTAGAGACATGGGTCGAAGTCCGATACTTGAAATCCGATGGAGCACACATACTCGTCGAACGTCTCGTTCCACACTCGCGACGCTTGCTTGAGGCCGTAAATTGACTTCACCAATTCCAGGCAGTCGAACGTACTGTCAAGTTCGACGCCTGTTGACGGTCATCGGTTTTCTACCAGTATTGGTAACCGTGACCGATCCAATCCGAACCGCCTGTTCAGCTTAATATTTACGACGTAGTTCTTACGGTAATTACCATAGTTGATTAGACGCGTAGGATGATGAGACGCTTCACATGATTTATATGTACACCACATATAAATCATGTAGTAAGTAGTAAGCCCCGATAATCAATCACTTTCGAATCTTCCAACTATTGGGCAAGTGTTTTCTGCTCTACTCTCTTCGGTCTCTCCGCTCCGTTTGCTCCGCTTTCCTCGCTCCGATCTACAATGCAACAGGTTATGAGCCCAAGCGCCATGTCGTCCACCAGCAACGCCTCCATTGACAAGTTCAACGGAGACAATTACGCAACGTGGAGCCGGTACATGCGCGGTGTGTTTTTGACGAAGTCCGTCTGGCACGTTGTCAACCGTGAAGTGACTCCGACTTTCACCGACCCGCGAGCGTCCGATGACTACGTCAAGGCAAGCAACGTCGCGTTTGGTATGATGCTGCTGCACATGAACGCGGACTACCATCATGTGCTGGACAACTGCGAGGAAGCCTGGGTTGCGTGGACAAGTCTGAAGACGCTGTACGGTGGGTCGCAGAAGGCAGGACGCATCTACCTCAAGCGACAACTTTTCAGTATCAAGATGGCTGAAGGCGCGAACGTCATGCATCACTGCAACGAGGTCCTCAACATCTCCGCCAAGCTTAGCGGCATCGGTGCGAAGATGGAAGACGAAGACGTTGCAATTTGTCTGCTACTCAGTCTTCCGAAGAGCTACGAAAATGTGGTGCTCAACATGGAAATGAGCAGCACCGAGCTTCGCACTCAAGATGTGGTGAGAGTCCTGACGAATGAGCATGCCAAGCGTCAAGGAGAAAAAGGGACAACGACAGCGACTACGGTGAAGGCTGAAGATGCAAGCAAGGCATTCAGCGCCGAGCGTGAGCCCTACCAATGCACGTATTGTGGCAAGGTGGGACACACGGTGGATCGTTGCTGGACAAAGCAGAAGAACGAAGGTCAGGGGAGCCCGACGCGGCGGCAATGGTCGTGGACGCGGGGCTAACAATGTCCAGTGGGGACATCATGATGAAGGCAATGGCTACGATCGAGTGGCGTTTGCAGTCTCGTTCGAATGTGGAGTTTCGACGAGCAAGGACGTGTCTGGAATGTGGGCCGTCGACAGTGGTGCAACGCACCACATTTGCCACGACAAGACCAAGTTCGCAAGTTTGGCAGAGCGCAATGAGGGCGAACTCTTGGTGGCTGATGGCAACAAGGTGGCCATCAAGGGTGTGGGAACCATCATGGAAAAGGTGGTTCTGCCCAACGGTGAAGAGCGTGAGATCGAAATCAAGAACGCGCTATATGTTCCAAGTATGAGCAAGAACCTGCTCTCGGTGCCACAGATTAACAGCCATGGCAAGTTTCAAGTCGTGTTTGACGGGTCCAAGATGTATGTGACTCTCAAGAACTCACAGCAAGTGGTGGCGACAGCGGATCTCGTGGATGGACTCTACTGGCTTCCGGACGACTCAACGATCAGCGAATGTGACAACAAGTGGAACCAGTTGTGCCGATCTACATGCGAGAATGGGTCATGCTCCAGTCGATGTACTTCGCAAGATGATCGCGACCAACATGATCAAGGATGTGCGAGTCCCTCTCAAGTCGGGTGGAGCAACTACATGTCGAGGATGTCAACAAGGGAAAATGGTCAAAAACCATTTCCAAGCAACCGAGACAAGCGCAGCTACGATACGTTTGAGCTACTTCATCTGGACATCTGCGGGCCCATGGAAAAGGATTCGCTCGGTGGCAGCAAATATTTACTGCTGATCATCGACGAAGCCAGTGGATGCATGAAGGGCTTTTGTCTACGAGTGAAGTCCGAGAGTGAAGACTACATCCGGAAATATATCACCATGGTACAGACGCAATTCTGTAAGAAGGTCAAGTTCGTGCGACACGACGGAGCTCGCGAGTTTGCAACCAACTCGCTTCAACTGTTCTACGAAGACGAAGGCATTGAACAGCAGACAACGGTGCCGTATGCACATCAAACAAACGGAACAGCAGAGCGTGCCATTAGGACTATTGTCACGATCGGCCGCAGCATGCTTCATCATGCCAAACTGGACAAGTGTTTCTGGGCCGAAGCAGCGATGACGGCCATCTACGTCAAGAATCGACTGCCGTCACCTAAAGTCTGATGAACTTTAGACTTCTTGGTCCGAGTGCAAAACGCAAAGTGAATATATATTTATAATAGGTACTTAGTTCGCAACTTTGAATACTACCTCTAAGCCTATTATTCGCAGTGACGTCATCCAGTGACGTCACCCACTGACGTCATCCAGTGACGTCATTTCCTGACTTCGCCCTTACTGGTACATACCGGTACCCACCGGTATAGCGAAGCTTGGTCTTCCACTTGCTTCAACACTTGACGCAGCTTGACGAGGTGTCTTCTTCACAGCCGCTGTCTTTTCAACACTCCCTCTCGACTCGTTAGCTGCGGCACCTTGGATCCCAAGTCGATCGCGAATGTTTTCAAATTGTACAGCGGCGATCGGCTTGGTCATCATGTCTGCCAGCATACCTTGAGTCGGGCAATACTCCAAAACGACTTCACCTGATTCCACCTTCTCACGCACAAAATGGTAGCGTATGTCGATGTGTTTTGTTCTCTTATGGAACTCCGGGTTCTTGGCGAGAGCGATTGATCCTTGGTTGTCTTCATACATCTTGATCGCTTCGTCGCTTGTCATCTCACCAAGTTCCCCCAAAAGCACTTTGAGCCATACTGCTTCTTTGGTTGCTTCGGAAAGCGCCATGTATTCTGCTTCTGTTGAAGATAGCGCGACCGTCCGTTGTTTCTGGCTTTTCCAGCTGATGCATCCTCCGCTCATCATGAACACATAGCCGCTTGTACTTCGTCTTGACTCAATGTCGCCGGCCCAGTCTGCGTCGGTGTACCCGCAGATACGGCTTCCTTCTTCACGTGTAAACTCAAGACCATGATTGGGCGTTGCTTGCAGGTATCTCAGCACACGTTTCAAAGCTTGCCAGTGAGTCGGGCATGGGTCGGACGAGAACTGGGATAATGATCCCACTGCAGCAGCTAGATCCGGACGTGTGGCGACCATGAGATACATGATGCCTCCGACAGCACTTCGATATGGCACGTTGCACATGGTGTCTTCGTGCTTGCATTCTTGTTCACACATGTTCTTGGTTAGCTTCAGGCCGGGATCTTGAGGCGTCTTCACTGGCTTGCTGTTATCCATTCCGAACTTGGTTAACACGGACTTGAGAAACTTGGTTTGTTGTACAGTCACCATTCCCGTCTTACGGTCGTTCTTGATCTCCATGCCGAGAAAGTAATCGAGGCTCACCGAGATCCGTCATTTCGAAGCGTTTGCTCAGCGCCATCTTGGTTGACTTGAGGAGTTCGTTGTTGCTGCTGGCCAGGATGAGATCATCGACGTAGAGCACCACGAGAATCATGTCTTGGTCGTCTCGCTTGATGTAGATGCAGTGGTCCGATTCGCACTTCTTGAATCCCATCTTGATCATGAACCCATCGATTGTTTGGTTCCACATGCGAGGCGATTGCTTCAAGCCGTAGAGTGATCTCTTTAGCTTGCACACATAGTCCGGCTGTGTTGCATCCAGGTATCCGTCCGGCTGGTCCATGTAGATGTCTTCGTTGAGGGAGCCGTTAAGAAACGCTGTCTTGACGTCCATCTGATGTAGCATTAGGCCGTACTCAGCGGCCATACTGAGCACCACACGAATCGATGTGAACTTGGCCACCGGTGCGAAAGTTTCTTCATAGTCAACTCCGAATTTCTGTGAGAATCCTTTGGCCACAAGTCTTGCCTTGAAACGTTCAACTTCGCCATCTTGATTCTCCTTTACACGAAAAACCCATCGGCACCCGATGGCCTTGCGACCTTTCGGAAGAGGCACGATTTCCCACGTGTCGTTTCTCTGAAGCGAATCGAACTCCGAGTCACACGCTTCTTTCCACTTGCCGGAGTCGCTTGATTCCATCGCCGACTTGAATGTAGTCGGCGTTTCCCCCACTGAATCAACGATGTAGGCTGCTTCAAAATCCATTGCAGCCGCTGACACATGCTCAAGCGACGGACCTCTGTATGTTCTTCGCTTGGGACTTGGAATGACGGTAGCTTTCTCAAGTGATTGAGTGCGCGTGTGTCTCTTGATGTTGCTCTTCGAAGACCTGGTATCTTCGTTGTCATCGTCGCTCGAGTCCATGTCGTCGTCAGTTTTACCTTCTTCTTTTTCTTCGTCCTCATCATGATCATCAAACTCAACGACACTTGACTCATTGTTGTAGTTGCGCGGACCTTCATCAAACTTGTCTTCCATTAATGTGGCATCGCGACTGATCTTGATCGCTCCTGTTGACACTTCCTCAAATCGATATGACTTCTGGTGTTCGGCGTATCCCAGGAAACGACAGAGTGATGACTTGGAGTCGAACTTCGCGCGTTTGTCTTGAGGCACTTGAACATACGCGTGGCATCCAAACACTTTAAGGTTGGCCAGAATCGGTTTCTTCATCGTCCACACTTGATATGGAGACTTGTCTTGGTGAATGGCACGTGTTGGACAGCGGTTTCGAAGAAACATCGCCGTCATCACTGCTTCACCCCAGTAGCTCTTTCCCAGTCCAGCGTGTTCCATCATGCAACGCGCACACTCGACCAGCGTGCGATTCATTCTCTCAGCTACTCCGTTTAGCTGAGGAGTATATGGGGGTGTGAACCTTTGTTGTATTCCCCGTTCCGCGCAGAATCGTGCCAGCTTGTCGGACTTGTATTCACCCCCATTGTCGCTTTGAAGGTACTTCACGCGCTTTCCGGTTTGCGTTTCGGCCATCGCAGCGTATTCCATGAACTTCGCCGCAACTTCAGATTTGCTCTTGAGCAGATAGACGACACAGTATCTTGACTTGTCATCAATGAATGTCACGAAGTACCGTTTTCCACTGAAAGTTGCCATCGACATCGGTCCGCATACGTCGCTGTGAATCACTTCGAGGAGTTTGGAGGTGCGAGCTGTAGTGTTTGATTGGAAGCGCACTCGAGTCTGTTTTCCCAGAGCACAACCTTCACACACGTCCCACTTCTTCACCGAAGATATGTCGATGCCAATTCCAATGTTCTTCGTCACGATGCAATTGAGTCCATCGTGACCTATGTGGCCAAGCCGAAGGTGCCAGAGGTACGACTTGGTGCCCCCTTGACATCCCGACGACTTGGCTGCATTTGCTTGTTCCGGCGCCACTGGAGTCATTTGCAGCTTGAACAGTCCTTTACCTTCACGGGCACCAATTTTCCACTTGGTCCCTTTCGCTTCTCCATAGCACCCATCCTTCGTGAACGTCACTGGGCCGACATCCTTGGTGAAGCGGCCGACCGAGAACAGGTTTCTGGATAACTTTGGGATGTGCCACACGTTTGTGAGCACACCTTTCTTCATCCCTTGGGGTGTCTTCATCGACATGACAATGTCCCCACTGCCGATTGCTTGGACGATTCCATCATCCGCGAGATGGACATCCACAGCGTCAAACCCCTTGTAGTTCCGCATGAACTTCTTGGAGCACGTCATGTGCTGCGTCGCCCCGGAGTCGACCAGCCAGATGTCGCTCGATTTCGCAGATGTCGTTTCACCGATCGAAAGAGGTAGTCGCCCGAGTCTTCTTCTTGAGCGACGTTTGCACGTTGTGATCGATAGCGGTCGCCGCTGTCTTGAGCACGCTGTGGCCGGTGTCTCTCCGTGTTTTCTTGGATGCGCGAGGGCACTCCGCCATCCAGTGACCAATCTTTCCGCAATTGTGGCACGGCCAGGACTTCTTCACTGGTCGCCCTTTGCGCTGATTGTCCCTTGTGATGAACGCTTGACCTTGCGAAGCTTCATCACCTTTACTTCCCTTGCTCCTTCCGCTTCATTTCTTCATGAAGCAGTCGAGACGTCACGAGCTCCCAGCTAAGAGTGTCTGAGCGCGACTCCAAAGCTGTGATCAAGAATTGATACGAGTCACTCAGGCTGCCGAGGAGTGTGATCACCAGATCGTCCTCGCAGACTGGAGCCCCCACCGCTTCTAGCTGTTCCGCCAGCGTCTTGAGCTTGTTGATGTGTTCGAGCACATCGTCGCCTTCTTCCATCATTGTCGTGAAGAAGCGACGGCGCAAGAACAACTTGTTGGCAAGACTCTTCTTCTCGAAGTGGTCTTCCAACCTTGACCATGCGTCGCATGCACCACTTGCCGACCGGACCAACGGTAGCTGGGAATCTTCCATGGCTAGACAGATCACTGCCATCGCCTTTCTTGACTTCCTCTTGTACGTCGCTTGGTCCAACTGAGTCTCGCACTGTTCCGCCTTGATCTCACCGCTGACGACCTCCCATAGGTCCCGTTCCTCCAGCACCATCTGCATCTTGAACTTCCAGGCGTGGAAGTTAGTTCCATCGAACTTGGAGATGCGGAGGGAGGAGGCGTCCATGGCAGCTAAGCTTGAATTGTTGGCGGTTTCAGAGTCTGACGAACTTGGGCTCATAACCTGATGAACTTTAGACTTCTTGGTCCGAGTGCAAAACGCAAAGTGAATATATATTTATAATAGGTACTTAGTTCGCAACTTTGAATACTACCTCTAAGCCTATTATTCGCAGTGACGTCATCCAGTGACGTCACCCACTGACGTCATCCAATGACGTCATTTCCTGACTTCGCCCTTACTGGTACATACCGGTACCCACCGGTATAGCGAAGCTTGGTCTTCCACTTGCTTCAACACTTGACGCAGCTTGACGAGGTGTCTTCTTCACAGACGCTGTCTTTTCAACACTTCGCTATACCGGTGGGTACCGGTATGTACCAGTAAGGGCGAAGTCAGGAAATGACGTCAGTGGGTGACGTCAGTGGGTGACGTCACTGGATGACGTCACTGCGAATAATAGGCTTAGAGGTAGTATTCAAAGTTGCGAACTAAGTACCTATTATAAATATATATTCACTTTGCGTTTTGCACTCGGACCAAGAAGTCTAAAGTTCATCAGGTTATGAGCCCAAGTTCGTCAGACTCTGAGAGCCGCCTAAGCTAGCCATGGACGCCTCCTCCCTCCCATCTCAGGGTTCGATGGAACAACTTTCCACGCCTGGGAAATTCAGATGCAGATGGTGCTGGAGGAACAGGACCTATGGGAAGAATCGTGAGTCAGCTAGGATCAAGGCGGAACAGTGCGAGACTCCAGTTGGACCAAGCGACAGTACAGAGGATCAAGGCAATGGCAGTGATCTGTCTAGCCATGGAAGATTCCCAGCTACCGTTGGTCCGGTCGGATGTGGTGCATGCGAACATGCAAGGTTGGAAGACCGCTTCGAGAAGAAGAATCTTGCCAACAAGCTGTTCTTGCGCCGTCGCTCTTCACGACAATGATGGAAGAGGCGACGATGTGCTCGAACACATCAACAAGCTCAGACGCTGGCTGGCAGCAGAAGCGGTGAGGCTCAGTCTGCGAGGACGATCTGGTGATCACGCTCCTCGGCAGCCTGAGTGACTCGTATCAATTCTTGATCTAGCTGGAGTCGCGCTCAGACACTTTAGCTGGGAGCTCGTGACTTCTCGACTGCTTCATGAAGAAATGAAGCGGAAGAGCAGGAAGTGAAGGTGATGAGCTTCGCAGGTCAGCGTTCATCTGAGGACAATCAGCAAGGGCGACCGGTGAAGAAGTCCTGGCCGTGCCACTAGTGCGGAAAGATTGGTCGCTGGATGGCGGAGTGCCCTCGCGCATCCAGAAAACACGGAAGACACCGGCCCAGCGTGCTCATCAGCGGCGACCCCTATCGATCATGGCGTGCAAGACGTCGCTCAGGAAGACTCGGGCGACACCTCCTCTTTCGATCGGTGAAACTGACCCATCTGCGAAATCGAGCGACATCTGGCTGGTCGACTCCGGGGGACGCAACACGATGACGTGCTCAAGTTCATGCGGAACTACAAGGGGTTTGACGCTATGGATGATCCATCTCGCGGATGATGGAATCGTCCAGCAATCGGCAGTGGGGAATTGTCATGTCGATGAAGACACCCAAGGGATGATGAGAAAGTGTGCTCACAAGCGTGTGGCACATCCCAAAGTTTCGAGAAACCTGTTCTCGGTCGGCCGCTTTCACCAAGGATGTCAT